ATAAGGGACGGCATATAAAAGTTTGAAATAAATAATAATAATAATAATAATAATAATAATAATAATACATAGTATGTAGAACAGTAGAAAAGGAGACTACAGTCACATATAATCAGAGATGTGATTTTCAAAAAAGAGAGGGAGAGACACAGTCTGACATCAGATATGCTTCCCTTTGCACCAGTGTTTAATAGTTTTGGGTTACAAACAGCAAGAGAATTGATGAATTGTTCCGTGTGATCCATGAGCTGCTTTGGAGGGGAAATATTCTTTCCTGTTCTCCACTGACAAACACCAATGTTGACATGCATAGTTTCATTTTTCAGTACCTACAGATTGAGAGTTAGTTGCAAGTAGTTGCATGGCTCAGTATCAAACTCCTTTTGAGAAGTTACTGACTCCAATTTATAAAACAGATTATTATCCAAAGTATATAAAGTATTAATTGTGATACATGATAATGGAAAGGCAATAATTAAACAAAAGTGATAAACTTATTTAGCATAACAATTAGGTATGTTTGAAAATGTGTAGGAAGTTACCAGATAGTAATACTAGAGGAAAATTGCATAGAACTGTGTGTGTACATACTAGCTAGATTCCTCACACACTATAGTTTAAGTTAAGCTGAGTTTGAGTTGAGTTTAAATTACTGAGATGACTTCATGTATCTCCATCTTTGCATCTTTAGTATTAGAATGCAGAAAAGGCAGTGTGGTTTGTGAAAGTAAAAAAAAAAAAAAAACAAATTTCCAGCACATGCAACTGTGTTACTCTGCTACACCCCAGCAAAGTGTACAAGTAAAGCAGGAAAGAAAAAGCTTTTACTGGGTTTGGATCTCAGTTCTGCAAGGAAACCAAAAGTAGATAAATTGAAATAACAACCCAGTATAAAAGAACTTCTTATTAAAGATTATTGGAAGTTAAAGAGAGAGCCTCCACTCTGCCCCAAGCAACACATGGAAAGATACAGCAAAGCTTTGTTTGCTCTAGGGGTTTGGGTGGTAAGATTCTCCAAGAGTTTTTCTACTGAAGGCTTGGGACCAGGCTGACTGATGTTCTGGTACCTTCCCAGCCCCTACTATTGGGTGAGGAGGCCCTTCGGAGAGAGCCATCCTCAAAGGAGGTAAGGAGGATGGAAAATAGAAGACGGAACTTCTCAGCTGTTGTGCCCCATCTATGGAATGGCCTTCCAAGAGCAGTTTGCCTGGTGCCAACTTTACAATCGTTTTGGCGTCAGGCAAAAACAATCCTGTTGTCCAAATATTTAAATAATTGATTTTACATTGTTCAGTTTTAAGGTATCATTTCATATTGTGTCCTAATTTTAACATATTATTTTAGTCTATATCTGACCCCCTCAGCTGCATAGTGTGTATTTTATTGTATATTGTTATTGTTCATTATTATTATATCTTTATATGTCTTAGTATGATACGATGCTTTTATAGTTTCTTTGTAAGCTACTTAGAGATTCTTTGGGACTAACTGATTGTGGAATACAAGTTGAATGAATGAATGAATGAACAAATGCATAAATGAATGAATAAATTTTGTGTTTTTATTTGCTCCCCTTTATCCAATAGCAGCCAGTTTACAAGCTGATACTTCATAAATTGGTTTCATTTTATTCTTAAACATCCTGCAGATTCTGCCTAAACCACTAATTTCTTCATTCCTCTACAAATGTTATATTCAGGCTTTATTTATTTATTTAGAATATGTTTATCCCATCCTACACAATCCAACTGTCTCAGGAAAGCTTACAATATAAATAAAAAAATACAAGCAATTAAAAATACAATAGCCAGATAAAATGCAACTGAGAATATTAATATTAATAAAATCAGATTAAAATTATTTAAGCTTTAAAATATTGGGCAAATAACAAGGTTTTAACCTGGCACCGAAAAGGATATAAAGTTGGTGCTGGGCTAACATGTCTGGGGAGCACAGTCCGCAGCTGGGGCGCCACCACAGAGAAGGCCCTCCTCCAGGTGTTTACTCGCCTCACCCTTCAAGGAGGGTTCCCGGAGCAGGGCCTCTGCTGCAGATCTCATGGGACAGGTGGGCATATAGGGAAAAAGATGTTCCTTCAGGTATCCTGGTCCCAAGCCATTTAGGGATGTTTTCTGTCTAAAACAAAGTACTATTAGTGGAAGTTCCAGGGAAGTTTTACTTGACTGGTGTGTGTGTGTGTGTGTGTGTGTGTGAGAGAGAGAGAGAGAGAGAGAGAGGTGAGAGTATATGATGGGCATTTCCATCATAATCCATTTTTAAAGTATTTGAATTACAAATAATGATTAGATCCAAAAAAATAAGGTGTAGAAGGAAATTGTCACTTGTATTTTTCTGCAAATGCTTCCGTAAGAGTTTGCAGAATATTTGGTTTAGTTTGATAATTAGAGATGTGCACTGGGCCCTAATCTGTGGAAATCGGGCCCAGTTCTCCCACCAGCTTTCCCTGGTGGATACTGCAGACTCTGAATTTGCAGTGGAGAAAGAGAAGGGTCAGCTGATTTTCCAAGTCCAATTTGCTGTGAGATAAAACAAGTGAGAACCAACACACCTCTGGTTTGCGGGGACACACAGTAGATCAGGGAGGGTCGGAAAAGGAGGGGTGTGCCTTTGTTAGTCCAGGGGTCCAACATCAAGTCAAATGAGTGAAGCAATTAGCGCTTTCCCCATCTGGCCCATAAGAAGCATGAACTGTCCTGAAGGATGTAACACCTCAATTTAGTGGGGAAAATTCAGTTGGAATCAACTTCTGGAACCCTAACTACATAAATTATGTTGTAAACCTTTCAGAAAGCTGTGAATGGTATCTAAAATTTGTTAAAATAAAAAGGTTATAACAAATTAGAAGTCTTCTTAAATTGATGGAAAGTTTTTGTTAACAATCTTTATATTACTAACTGGGTGTGTGCACATACCACCAGAAGCCATGGTTTTACTGTTGTGGGTCTTTTGTGTTGTCTGGACCCAGTTCTGGAGCTCCTGGGTGATAGGATATTTTCCTAAAGCCATGGAGCACAGAAATACTTTACTCTAAGTTTCCCACACTTCACCATGGCTTCTCCAATTATCTGGACCCAGAATCCCATTTTACTGTTGTTAATATAGGCATATAATAGAGTCACTTGAGAAGAGTAATTGTAGGTATGGCTGCTTCTAACCTCTCACCTCTACTGCCCTCAGCTCCCTAACAAAGCATAAACCACTGCTCACTTAATTCCCATCGTCCAAACAATGTGCCCATTTCCATGTTGACGTTTGGAAATGGGGAGACAGAACAAAATACATCAAGGGAGAAGTGGGGGATCATGGCAAAACTGTTCCTTTTCATTTAATAACCACCTCTGTGGGGACTGGAGCAGCTGGGAATCATAGACTAGTAGAGCTGGAAGGTGCCAAGAAGGCCATTAGGTCCAACTACTTGCTGGTGCAGGACACCAAATTACACCACCCCACTCAGATGCCGGTCCAGTTTCACCTTGAATGTCTCCAGTGTGGAAGGGCCCACAACCTCCCTAGGGAGCTGATTTCACTGCCATATTGCTCTGACAGCGAGGAAGCTTTTCCTGAGGTCTAGCCTGAACCTGGTTTGCTGCAACTTGAGTTCATTATTGCATGTCCTACACTCTGGGATGAGTGAAAAGAGATCTTGTCCTTCCTCTTTGTGACAGCTTTTCAGTACATGTAGCGATCTCCACTCAGTCTGCTCTTCTTGAAGCTAGAAATGCCCACTTCTCCCAATCTCTTCTCAAAGGGCTTTGTTTCCAGACCCTGGAGCATCCCTGTTGCCCTTCTCTAAGCCCTTTCCAATTTTTCTGCACCTTTCCTAAATTTTGGTGCCCTGAAGTAGACACAGTACTTCAGATGAGGTCTGACCAGTGCTGAATATAGGGGAACTAGTACGTCTTGAGATTTGAAAGTGATACTTCTATTAATGTATCCCAAAATAGAATTTGCCCTTTTTGTGGCTACATCACATTGTTGGCTCATATTTAACTTGTTGTCCACAATAATGCCAAGGTTTTTCATTTGCAGTACTGTTGATCCCATCTTGTTATTGATACATTTGGTTGCTTTTTCCCAGTTGGAGGACTTGAACTGAATTTTCCCTATTGAATTTCATTCTGTTGTTTTCAGCCCTAGTTTATCTAAATCTCCCTGGATCTTGTTTCTGTCTTCTAGACTGTTAGTCATTCCACCCAATTTTGTGTTGTCTGTAAATCTGATTATTGTTCCTTGCACTTCCTCATCTAAATCATTAATAATGATGTTGAAGAGCACTTGGCCCAGTACTGAATCCTGGGAAGTATCACACACATGCAGATAGTCAGGAATGGGAAGTGCAGAACCCACTGAGGCCCACAGAGGAACAGCCAGGTAGATGCTAGTGCTGGCCTTCGGCAAAAATAGGAAAGGACGGGGAGTTTGCTTGCAGGATAGATGGAGTGCAGAAATCAATCTGCCTGGGTAATCAGGTGATCATATGCCTGGTAAGTTGGAGTCAATCACACCATGGAAACAGCACAGAGCTGTTCATACGTCGTGTGGACCGCACCACTCTGTATCACAAAGCCAGCCCTGGCTGGCCAGCTTCACTTAATAAATCAACTGTCATTAGTAGTCCCTTGCCTTGATCTGGTAGGAAGGGAGAAAAGGGGGAATAGGGAGGTGAGGGAGAGGGATCAGCTCATGACAGACTCTTGAAATTATCTACTCTATCTGTGGATAGAGAAATTGGAATAATTTCACTGGATTTCTCCAGGAGAAGGCAGAAACTGCCACAGGCAGTGGCTGTAGTACAAGTTATTTCTTTCTCCTAAGGAATTTGGGGTTTTGTCCTCCTGCTGTTTGGGGCAATAGCATCAACTGCACCGACAGCCTGTCCCCATTCTGAATTCTGCACAATGCAAGTGTGAAAGGACTCAGTTACATCCAACTCCAGGGAAGATCTGGAGCTAGTGCTGTGCCAAACTCTGTTTTGTTACCTTCCCACATCATTCAAATGGTTTTCTTTGCCTCTTCTCAGGACAGTCTGGACGCATTGTGATGGTGTTTTTGAATATAATCTCTGTTAGATGTCAGAAGGTGCCCTCCATGTCCTCTCTTTACTTCTTCTGGTAACTTCTCAGGATACCAGAACTGAAGGACTCAAAATGCTTTCCTGAACTTCTCTTCCATTGTGTGATCACCTCACCAGAATCCTGTTCAGCTTTCCCCACACCTCCAGCTGTGTAAGAGATTTCACAAACTTTTAGCAGTTGTCTCTTTCAGTTTCTTAATTTTTCAGTCCTGTTGCTTTATCATAAACATTTTGTGGGTTTTCCTGTAATTTTAATGTTTAGGTTTTCATTAACTTGCATATGACATAAATCCATAAATGCAAATAACATTAAAGGCCTTTAAATAAAACTTATACTAATTAAATTCCCCCTAGCAGTAAATAAGGTTGCATTGAATCCTGAACTTTCACATTCCAGTACAAAATAATATAGATAGAAAGATATGCTAATCCTCTCTCTTGGACTCTAATCATAATAGTGAACTTTGCCATTTACTGCTCATCAAATGTTGTAAGATTTATTTGCTTTCACTTACAAGTTATTCCCACATGAGTAGACATTGGTGAGGAAATAGTCTTCATCTGAAAGGCTGAGAGATTCTCCAAAATGAAGGAATTTTTACCTACCTCCCACCTTTGGAAAGTGGTTGAGCATGATTGGAATCCCTTTCATTTTTTTGTTTAGTAGCATGTCAAGGTGAGCAGAAAATACTATTCTTGCTTGGTGGTATGAGGATAAATGGCAGAAGATGCACCATCAGGAAAGATAAAAGGAAGTGTTCCTTCTTATAGCACTGAACTAAGTTATGGAATTTGCTGCCCCGGGATGGAGTGAAGAACACCAACATAGACACCTCTGAAGGGGGACTGGACAATGCCATAGAAAGCTTCAGCTATGGGCAGCATACAAACGAAATAAATAATTGGGGCTTTTATTCTATGGTTCTAGTCATTGAGGTTGCACATTACAGTGCATACCAGAGACGGATTAACTTTCAGTACCAGGTGCCAAGGAACTGGACCCAAATGTGGGCTCTTGAACCAACCCTACATGCTCCTTTTGAACAAGGAACTGAACAAAATGTGGCTTGTGATTTTGCACAGGGCTCTGGGTGGCTCCAGTAGAGACAGACCTTGGATCTGACCCAGCATTGGTCTCCTTCCATTTCTACCAAACAGTGGTATTTAGAAGAGGAAATTGTCATGTGCACACCTTTCTTGGGGACTCCCTGAAATAGGAACAATAGACAGTTCTGCAAATTTGATATTTAGGACACTCTAGGTTAGGCTTCGTCTGTATTTACTTTGAGAGCAGCGGGCTGTTAAGCAAACTCTACATCAGTTCAAAAACGATTGTGCTGATGAAGACAAAGCAAGACAGTCCTTGTCTTCCTCTTGGCACACCTGGTACCAGCTGTGCAGAACAAACATTTTTGCAGGGAAACTGGAACCCAGACTGCACCATACCACAAAGATAATGCTGTCTGTTAGTACATTGGCTAAAACAGTCACAGGATTACATTACATTACAGAAGTTTGGAGGAATACACACATGTGCACATGCGCACACACACTGCTTTTTTGTAAAGGGTGGGGGCCTTGAGGCTGCTTTACATCAAGCTTATCACTAGATTTCAATGGTTGGGTGCTTGCAGACTTTTTGAATTACATTTTACATTGATTTTATGAGCTGCTATTGCATGTAATGTCTGAGCACTCCAACCTCTCCCTTTGTCCTCCCTGGTGTGGGATGAAATCAAGTTCACAGCAGGAGTATAATGGATGCTTTGGAGCAAATGGCATGATGTGTTCAAGTGTATTATGAGGTGGGGGGTTCCACTAATTATTGGAGGAGGTTTGAGGAAATGGTGGCTTTTATGTCCCTGAATAAAAAATGCATTAAGTTTTTGCAAGAAGCCAAAATGAGCATGAATGAATCTGGGTTCTCAGATGTGTTATGCCAAATGCACTCTTCTTCAGTCCCCCACCTACACTTCCCCACATGTGCAATAAAAGATGGGTCCACGCTTCTGTGTTCCTTTATTACACACATTTGGGTCAAATGAAGAAGAAGTGGAGGAAGAGAGGAGGAGGAAGAGGAAGAGGAGGTAGCTCAAGCTCCTTCTGCTCAAGGAAAGAGCATGGAATAAGTGTGTCTGAACATGACACCATGTGTGCTGAGCTGACCTGCCATCAGCTTACACATGTCTCCCATTTAAAGCATACGTGAAGGAAGTAATTATGTACCACCTACTTGTAAGCAGCCCAGTGGCCATTAAAAGGACAGCTGATGCATCCCAAGCAGAGTTTTTGGCACGGAGTGCTGATACTGGATACCCCTCTTGCTCTAAGCACGGAGATGAACTACAACCCAGTTGCATAGCTGGAGTTACATTTTCATGGTCAGCAGGCGTTTATTTAAAACTTCAGAAGGCATTTCTGACTGTAAATAGTCATGCAGACTCACTGGATCATCTATTCCAATTGCCATAATTGCCTTAAAAGAGGATGCATCTTGGGTATGAGGAATACATTGATTGTGCACTGTTAACTGTGAGCGCTACAAATGCATCCCCCATGCTCAGAGGGAGTGCGGCTTTGGTTTGGAGGCAATGGGGGCAGGGCCTTCTTAACGCATGGGCCTGATGGGCACTTGCCCGTGGGCCCCATACTAATCTGCGTATGTTACCCCTTGGAAAATTGGAAAACTTCCAAAATTAATAGTAGTTGAAGTTGTCATATGGGCCCCAGTACACTGCTTTGCCCGGGGCCCATAATGCTGTTTAGACAGCCCTGACTGGGCGACAATTAAGGATCCCAGTTGCCTTTGTGTTCCATTTGTTTCTTAGTGAAAGGTCCATGGGACAACCCTCCTCCACTCTCCCTGAGACTGATCAAGTCCTGAAATGGGTCAAACAGGGCCTTGGTAAACATCCAGTATGCATCGCCATGAAGAAGCTGTTTCCACCGCCTCTTCCTTTGCCAAGCCCAGAATCTAAACTTGGGGTAGTGTGTGGATACTAAGAAGGAATTAAGGAGAACATTCCAGTGGTAGGTGCCACTGAAAACAAAATAGGGTACAACCAAAGTCAAAGAAGTTGGGGGCAGGCTCCCAGTATACTTCACTGTAATACTCCTACTGCTGGTAATTAAGCTTTTCACAGACATTTCAGATGTTTACAATGGGGCAGATTTACAGAAGGCCAAAATTTGCAGGGGGTGTAACATGTTGTGTGAACCCTCTCAGTGCATGCCAGGCTTTTTCCAGCTCATTCTTGTTGCAAGCATTTCATTAACCACATCCAATTAACTGTTTGTGGCAACTTGACATAATGGCTTCGGCGAACCTTTGTTCTGATCCAGCAGGGTTCTTATGCTTTTATGCCCCAAGAGAGGAGATTTTAAGTCTACAGCTTTTCCTTGAGACATCTGAAGATTTAAAACCTATTCCAAGGGACTCCAGTCTCTCCTACAGATAGCATCCCTGGACAAACATTTATCATTTGCAAGTTTGAGGCTTTTTTTCTTTTTCATTTCAAATTTTGTATTACTTTTCTTTGCATCCCTCTCAATGCATTCATTTTTACACACAGTCTGGCTTAATATACACATTTACGCAGGCTAATTTTCTAATACGGTACATTTTGAATTCTATTTCACAAATCCATTGATTTTGTTTACAATTTCCCCATAATGTACATGCATTTCTAGATTGGAGACATCCATTGCAAAATAAAAGGGTGAATTTCAAAGGAAAATTAAGTTTTGGTTGGTGTATTGATACAAGAGTAAGAAATTAGATCAGTTAAATTTTTAAAACAACCCATTCAGTTTCTTCTTGATCCCTATGTCTGATTTACACAGGTTTTGGGTTCCTGAATGGTCTGTATCTTCATATTTGTACAGACACATTGTTCATCATCATCAGTGCTCATAGGGTTGATATTGTTTAATCTTAGGAGGAGACTGGATTTGATGGCCTTCTTGGCCCCTTCAAAGTCCACTGTTCTATGATTCTATCTCCACTAACACCTCCTTTCTATTTCATGTGCACAATCTATGTTGTTTCTCAAATGTCTGGTCTATTTCACAACCTCACTGACATAGTCTTCAATGCACCTTAACCTGGGCTGTGACTTAGGACAAAAGCTGTGTTTGTCTGCAAAAGTTTTACAGGATGGCAGAAGTTCCAGAAATAGAAACTATTACAGCAATTGGCAGTCATCTGTGAATTATGCAATCTTCTGACTCTTTTAGAGTTACAAATACTGATGGCTTCAAGAAAGCTGGAGTAACTACAACTACTACCACATCCCCCGAAGGAATAAATCACTGTGTTGTCAGCAAAAGTCACTTGAGGGTCAACCAACTACATCAGCAAACAAAGAGGGAGTGGGGGAACCCTTCTTGAACCTTAGAGACAATTAAACCCTGATATTTGGTTGGTTCATTGTTTGTACTGACACTGCCTATAAACCTATCCTATGTGATTCAAGGACTGACTGCAGATTTCGCAGTATAGGAACGCCCACCTGGATGGCCATGGCTTCAAAATATTATACGGAATGGATCCTGCTGAGCAGAGGCACACCCTGCCATCTGCTGCCACCCCTGTGGAAACTCCATGACAAATATTAACTGTGTGTTACAGAGCCTAATGAACAGAGTGAGGAAAGAAAACAAGGAAGGAAAATAATAAAATAAAATAAAATATTATGGTTTTCTTACACAAGCTTTAAAGATGCTCATAATGCTAAATAAATATTTGTTATATATCCCTATTTATGTATGGAGCAAGTTGTGCTACTATTAACAATAGTATGCATAAAAATCAGCAAAAGCAATCCAAATGTAAATATGCTTCTCCATTTGTATATTACTCCCAAAGGCGCACCATTAAAACATCAAGAGTTTCCTTAAATTCTCCAACCACTGTGTTACTGCAGGTGGCTGCTTATCCTTCCAGTGTCA